CAATTTACAACTGTTCTCCTTTGAGAATATATATGACAAAAATGTTCTCCTTCAAGAGTGCACGGTTTAAAAATGTTCTCATTTGAGATTATGTGCAAACGATTGTTCTCCTTCGAGAGTATACTATTTGAAAATGTTCTCCTTTAAGAGTAAGTTTATAAATTGTTCGAGAGTGCACAGTTTCAAATCGTTCTCAATTGAGATGGCGTCGTTTAGAAAAACTGGAAAAAGGTTAAAAAACACATACAACCGCCGCCGACGGTGAAAAAGTTTTCAGTTGCTTCCAGCTGTTGCCGTCGATCGAGAAAATGTTTTAGCCAGCAGCTGCCGACCAAATGATCGGCTGACACCTCTATCCACAACGGCTTGGGAAACGAGATCGAGAATAAAAGGAACCAGTTAACCAATAATCTCTCATCATCACATTACCGATTCTTCTTCTCCTACACAAAATCCCATTCGAGTCCTACACTACCAACCAGTTGGAAAAAGTGATATTATTTTTAAAAGACAAGCCGTCAATAACCCATTTGCAAAAACCACGTTTGAAAATGAGGACTGCATATTTTATCAGATATCGATATATTTTCTTGACACATTCTATATCAATATGCTCGTCGCAATCTGCCCTTTCTTGTAACATTAGTATGTGCTACATATTGCATAATTAAGATAATCATTGAGATTTCGTTGGAAAAACTAAAAAAGTCAAATCTGTGCAAAAATGAAGTCACCCATATTCGATTACTTGAAGTCAATAGTTTCTATCCTAATCAAGGTCATCGCAATGGTACATTCAAAGAGCTTTCATTTGATGAACGGGATATCAACTAAATCTTTTTCCTTCACAGAAATAAACTGTTCTAACGTAAAGTCATCGAACTGTTGAATAATTTTACATTAATGCCATCACTTTTTCGCTGAACGTTTTTTAGTTTAAAAATCATGACAGAGTTTTCTTTATAAAATTCTCCTCTTGTCCTGTATGTACACTGCAAAAACCGTATTTCAAGTGAATATATTAATTAACTATCCGGTGCAAGAGGGAAATATTTCACTTTTACAAATGGATTATTGACAGCTTGTCTTTTAAAAATAATATCTCTTTTTCCAACTGATTGATGTCCATCGTTCTTATATATTTTTGTAGACTGGAATCTTCTCTTTCTAATGGAAGAAGAAATGTATATGATGTTTCTCGACTGAGACATGAAGCAAACAAAAAAGCGAAAAACTTTTGTATCACTCGCTATTTGCAGAATTAAGTCATATATCATGTATAAAATATTGAATATGAATGATTTATCAATTACTTGTGTCGATATTATAAATTGAAATTTCCTATGATATACCTGTCATCAATACTTTATTGACACGACATGGTTGCATAAAAAAATATTTTCTCAGCTTGAATTGACAATCTCAATGAATATGTTAAATACCAAAATGATAAAGTGTCTTAATTATAATGCTTTTTTAATTTTCAGATATGTATGTAATTGTTATATCTGTTCGTTAGTTTGCATGTTGCTGTCTATTCTATGATAGAATTTCATCTGATCAGAATAAAAAGATATAAATGTTGTACTGATATTCTTTGTTTTTTAAAAGCTAAAATAGGCTGAATTTTCATTGTTAGACAGTTAACATACTATTAAAGACAGAAATAAAAAACAAAATAACACAAGTGATGGTAGTAATCCTTAGAGATTATTGATAACACACATTTTATTTGACATAAGCGCATAATGGAATAATCACAAATTTTGATTTATTTAACTGTATTTATTCTTGTTACACATGTATCAATGCAGTCTGTTTCTCGTATAAATTTATTATCATTTCCTTTACAACCTAGAAAAGAGAAAGGTGAGAGAGAGAAAAAGTGATTATTTGCCAAATTTGTATTTTAAGAGTAAAACATACCACTATGTATAAACGGTAAACATTTTTGTTTATTGTAATCATAATACCACATTTGAATGAAGCCGTTACATGATCCACGATCAGGTGTTGATGCACACACTAAAAATAAGAAAATCAAGTTATTTAGAGCATTTTATTAAAAACCACAAGAGTATAATTACTTATGCATTCTAGTCGACAATCATTTAATGTACGAAAATTATTTTCATTTCCACCACTTCCACGATAAATAAAATGATGACATGTCTGTTCAATTGGATGATAATACCATCGGTCATGATAGCGTGGTACAGATTCATGATGACCAACATGCATCGGTTGATGACATAATAGTGGACGATCTTTGAAAAAATATAGAATTTATATGAAATTTGAACCTTCTAACATAGAATAAATGCAAGAAGTAGATTTTAATATAAAAAGAAATAAAGAAATGCCTATTAATCAGTTGAGAAGCAAAATATTTGATACACACAGTAATAATGATTGATATTTCTCGGTGGTATATTGAAACAAATGTAACGTCAAAATTTAGTTTTGCATATTTATTGTTTTCGACTTACCCGGTTTCTTGAATGGTTGGCAGATTGGTTCTCCTGCTCTATTCACTTCGCATGTATGGTTATCAAAACATTGATATTTCTAAAAAAACCCAAAGATCAAAATGAGAATATTAGAAAATCCATGCAATTGTAGAACAGAATTTGGTTGAAATCCAAAAGATAATTCACTTACTGCACACGGTGGACTGCATTCACATGTCTCATTGATTAAATCAAAACCATATGAACATTTTTTTGTACATTGACACGTTAAATCACATTGAACAATTTCAGTTGTTTTAATCAAGGATAATGTTGCTGTTGTTTCTATTTGATCTGTTTCATTTGTTGAGTTAAAATCATCATCGAAATATTCGGTTGACGTTAAATATTCAAAATTAGTACCATTTTCATTTTGTGTTTCATTGAGCAAAATAGTGACATCCGTATGAGATATATTATTGTAGGAATAATCTGAAATTGTTTCGGTTGTTTCATTGTCATAAGTCCATGTAGTTAAATCAATTCGTGTTGTATTACTTTCTGTTTCATTTTCATTACTTAAATCATTTTTGTCCAACATTGTTTCATCATGTATGGTCACATTACCATCTGATGAATATGTAGTAGCAACATCCAGAGTAAGACATCCTTCATCGTTCTCACAACTAACGCTTGTATCATTGATTAATGATGTAAATTGAGTATAGGCCAAAGTTGTTTCATTATCAGCATAGTCGGAGAGCGTACTATTCTCATCTGATAAAGATGGAATTGTTTTACTCGTCACATTATCCCATTGATCAATTTCAGTATTATTATCTTCCATGGACGATACACTTTTATCAGTTACAGTCAGTAATTCACTTGTAAAACTGGATGTAGTTTCAATTGTATTTTGTTCTGATGGTGAACTATCAATAATTACTAAAATCAAATGTTCTCGTTGAACGAATACTGCTCAATTCAAAAATGCAATGTCTTTAACTTCATATGAACTGATTCAGTCCCGATTCTTCGACACTTTATAGTGTCGGCGGCTCACAGACAGCTTTCATCTCCCCGCCCAAAATGTTGTCAAAGAGTCAGGAAAAAAATTTATGTGTCGACGAATCGGGAATATTCCTATGAACTGAATATATCAATTAATTCAACACAATACTCTATGATTAAGAGTAGAATGTGGCAAAAAAAAGTTTAGACGAAAACACGTTGGCGAAAAAATTTCTCGCATGAAATCTGTTTATATCAAAGAGTAAAGACCATACCGTCATATAATGATCAATTCACTTACTTGATTCAATAGTTGAGTGTTCTTCTGTAGACAATGTATCGTTTTTGCTATCAAACATTTCCGTTGTATGTTTTTCATTTGAAGGTGAATCTGTTTCTTCATTATCCACTTCGACACTTATTGTTGTAACATTATCAGATAAAACTGTTTGATTATCGAGTTTGTTAACATTCATATCGACTGTATTTTCATCATTTATTGTTGATGATATTTCATTGGTTAGTACGTCAGTATTTAATGATGCAGTACTAATCAAGTCATTGTTATCGAATTGTATAACATTAATTGTTGTTAGAGACCCATCTAGTGCATTAGTAGTTTCATTTACATCAGTAGTTTCATTTACAGCACTAATATGTTTTGGATCTTCTTCATAAATAATTTTTTTTAAAAACGAATCTACTGTGATATTTTTAACATCATCAAATTCTGTATTATTTAATGATAAAATATCATTGATAAAAGACAATGGACTATTTGAAGTGATAAAATTGTTTGTATAATTATCGTTCAACATAGAGTTATCAGATATGGTAATGTTTGTATCGAATTTAGTTTCATTATCAAATAAAAGATTGTTTGAAATTATTTTAGAGGTTTGTATCAGATTAATCATACTAGTAGGAAAAGTATTCACTTGTGTCATATTTACCATTTCAATATCCGATAAATTTACTTTTGTTAATAATATTTTGTTTAAACTCTTATTTTCTAAATTATCTTCAAATATCATAGTTGTAGGATAAATATCATTTATATTATTGAGTTCCATTTGTTCCATTGTATCGTTTGAAATATTATTAATTGATGAAGATAATTTCATGTCCTCAGACAATATTTCAATTTCATCATCAAAATTATCATGTTGATTATTTCTTCTCATTCGTTTTAAATTCATCAGTAAATCGGGTCGTCGCCTCGATAAAACCGTTTCTTGTAGACTATTATCAGTAGTTCGTTTAAATGATAATGTTGTTGATGGTAGTGGTGTTGAAAGTGAAAAATTTGTAAAAATAAAAGCGGTGTAAACAATTGATTTTGATAGCTAAAAAAAAATGAACACCAGAAACATCTTTATGTGCTTTAGTAATTTTAATCTATTAAAATTTTTACAGAATGATAACAATAGAGCTTAAAAGTTCTCATAGCTATTCGAACCCATAACAGGGAATATAAAATAAGTTCCATTCATAAAGTGTTTTTGATGCTATAATCATATATTATATCTATCAAGCGTGATGAATGAACATCATAATGAAGAAAAAACGGAATATGTAAGAGTCATACAATATGGTTCATGTTATATTATGTGTTAATTAAGCGAAAATATAACTTTTGTATTACATTTTATCGTACTACTAGTTAGTTTTATCTATCCACATAGTATTACGAAGTCTAAATGAAAATATTTATAATAGAAGTGGATGAGAAACGTTTTTCATTCTATCGTTTAATATCAAAACTGTGTTGTATTCTTGAATATTATGGGTTTTTTTTTGGAAATCAAATTTTAACGCCACATATTTTGAACATTAGAGACAACGAACTAGAAACATATTCTTAAACTAGATCATAAAACAAATTAAAAGAAAAAAAATCTTCAGTGTTCCTCTTTCAACATTATAAGAATTTTCGGACAAAAAAAAATTTTTACATTCGGATGTTGTGATGTAAAAGGATTAGTACAATACCTTAGCTCTAAGAAAGTACCAAAATGATCATTCAAAGATTTAAACGAGATTTATGTCATATGAGTTATTATTACAAAAAAATTTAAAAATATTACTTACATAAATAAACAGTATATAGCATACAAGTGTATAATTAAACCATCCCCTCATTGTTCGTATTGTTCACCTATTGTTTTTGTTTTTGTTGGAATGAATAGGTTTATTTTATTCTAATTCACCTGCTTTAAACAATTAATAATTTTGTTGCCTTAGCACTATTAAACATTATAAAAAAAAAGAAGTAACTAATATTTTTTATCAACGAGTTTGGATTTACTGTATGTCAAAAAATAGGAAGTTGCCTTTATTTCTCTTTTTCTTTTTTTTTCTAGTTATTCAATCTTTCATATGATAACGTAATGGTCATGATGGACAATCACAATCATTTTTCTCACTACTGTTGTACTGTTTTGTTTCTTTTTTTTTTATTCGTTATACCACTGAGATGTAATTTGTTGATAATATGTATGAGTTTTAGTTTATATTATCATTATTAGTATTTTTTCTCCTCTATTCTGTTAACTAATGAGAACGGTATTGCGCTATTTCATAATATATATACAAATGAAAAAATTCCAATGAGATGTGATATTTGGTCAATCAATGGATAATATCTTAGTTTTTGTTTTTCTTTGTTTTTATAATGTAATATGAAACAGAACTTATTGATAATCGTAAGATTATTCAAAATTAGATAGCCACTAAAATTATTAACTATGTATATATTGTGAAATTATATTTTTTATCTGTTATTCACTTACAATTGTTTGTTTTTTCTCATTAAAAAAATGAACTACTTAGTTTCATTCCAATTTCGATCATTCTGCAGAATATAGGAAAGAACAGCGAAGTTGATTTTAGCAGTTCGTCTGCAAAGATTAAATTCGTATGTTCGATTCTAGCTTCGATTTGCAAGGATTGACTTTGTGTTTTGATAGTTTAAGTTTCAGAATGATATAATGGGAATTTATATTCTCTATTTCGTTCTGGTTCAAAATTAAAGCTTAAATTAATACTTAGTTATGTAATATTTATTTGAAATTTCTCGTCAATTAACTAGAAATTGGAAAACTTTCATTTGCAAACGTTCGTTCCAGTCTAGAAACTGCCGATTTGTGAGAAGTCGCCGAGAAACGAAGTGTCGAATTTTTGCTCAATTTAGATAAATATATGATCAGAAAAACAAACAAACAAACAAACAGTAGAGAACGTTTTCAAAAGACAAACAAGTGCTAGTACTGAGCGAGTAAGTATTTAATCTGACAGAGACAGATGAAGAACATATTGAAAGCAAAATTACATTCACACGAATGATGATGACATAGAATCTATAAACTTACATCCATGATACAGATTTGAACTAAATTGTTTAAAAGTAAATGCATAAGAGTTTGTAAGAGAGTTTTGAAGAGTGATTATGTACTATCTAATTTCGAACCTCTTGTTGATCTCCCATTGTATAAGGATAATAAAAATATTTTCTTGAAAAAAAGAATTTCTTCGCTATTAGATATGGATTTATATTTCCTATCTGAGTGGAAAAGGTCTTTGAACGTTCCAAATTATTTGAAAAGTATAACATAGATACAGTAGCCTATTAATATAGTCAATCATATTTGGATACGTAATCTTTTATTTTCTATCAAGGTCTCTTTTCATCCGTATCATAAACATCCAGTAATAATTATTTTTGAGGACTCATGTTGTTTTTTGTTTTCTTATTTATTATGAACAAAAAAGAAAAAACTAAAGACTGTTGTGTATTATCTCATCTATTATTTTACTTCTAGATAAAATGTTGGAATAATAATTCGACTATTTTTTCTTACTGATACAGTGATAAGAAGAAAGAAATATTTCCAAAATTGTGTAATATGAGAGTATACTGTTATTCGTGATATCAATAAATGACAAACCATATAGCTGTTGGTCACTACAGTATATCTGTTATTCGTGATGATTGTTAATCTCTCAAATGAATAGTGTATACATATTTGGTTTAAAAGAAGAAGAAAAATTTATGGATACAGAGTTATGCATCTAAGAAGAGATAGTTCTTCGATCATTATCATATGCAATGATGAATCAAAACAAAAAAACAATTACATAATAATCGTTAAAAGACAACTATATGCATGTATACGATCATGAATGGCAGATAAAATCTGTACAGAATAAAACAGAAGAAAAAAAGAAAAACTATACAAAATTGATCATACTAATTAGTCAAAATTGATAAAAGAGAATAGTGATCGTTAGTTATAAGAGTTAGATTTTGTCTCACTATTAGAGTTCTTTGATTGTTATATTTTGTGATTGATATACACATTCAAAAATAAAAGTTTAAAGAAATAATACAAAAAATTATTCAAATCTAAAAATTAAACAATATTCATTTATGCATTTTATCATCGTCTTCTATGTCTTTCAACTACATTCGTTATTATACAAATTTTAACTGATAGATGATGAGTCCTCTTGACAATGGTTAAACCTAAAGATAAATGACACCACGCCTTATTTAAAGTTTTTTCCCACTTATATCAGTTACATTGATTTCTTCTTTTTCTTTTTGTCATTTGAAAAAAAAACAACATATTTTAACACATGTAATATCAACGTTTGTATTGTAAAATTACTAACGTGTACATGTCAACGTTTTCATGAAATAAAATTGATTCCAATTTTGTCTTGTGCACATGAAATGAAAAAAAAGAAAGAAATAATATATGTATATATGTATGGATTCTACTTCTAAATATTAAATTGTATCCATTATCCATCTTATGCGAATTGTGTGACGTTGGTTTATTTTCATTAAAATTTTTCAGCTTTTTCATCAAATGATATCATAAAATTGATTATTGGTCGTCACATAGAAGTAAACACAATCTAATATATTCTATTAATGTCTTCATTTGAAAAGAAATTGCATTTCTAGAAAAGAAAAAGAGAAATGAAAAAAAAAGTTCATTTGGACACGCGCGAATATGAACGAAGAGAATTATAAATTTATCGATTGTATTCTGATTAACAGGTAAAATTAATAATTAGGAACAAAAAGAAAGAGTAAAAAGAGAAAAAAAAAAGTTCAACTTCATACTATAGACGTATTTGTAAATATGAAGGTCATCAAAAGATTCAACTCACGCTATATTTTAATAAAGAAAACCTTTTTTATTTTTTTATTCTACTGTCTTTATTTTTTCGTAGAAAAAAAAAAAATAACAAAAGAATAGAATGGCTTATTTGTAATTAAAAACGCGATATTTGTTTTAAAATAAGTATAAATTTATTAAAATTTTTACTCAATATATAAATATACAGTCAACAGAACAAATTTGGTTTTTACGTAGTAACAACGTCTGCCATAAGAGAGAAGAACACATCAAAATTTTTTGATTTTTCAAATTATTTAGAATATATTCATCATTTAGAAAAATAAAGTACTACTTTGTTTATGTGAACAGCTTGGCTTAACGTTTATGTTATTTGTCACATATTTTGACAAATGTTGTTCAAATCTTCATCCAGACAAATTCTGTACAAATCATGGACAAGTTTCTTATATTAGCATACGTGCTATATTGTAACCTACAACATAGTCTTGTTAGATTAGAAAGTACGTAGAGCACTCAAACAATTGAGTAAAAGAACGGTAACAGTAGTCAGAAGACGAAGTGTTCTTTCGTTCTTTCTCATTTACTTGTTTTAGTAACATAAGATTTTCAGACATACATGTCTGAAATAAATATGATAGAAAACAGTTGAGTTAGTAACACTGTTTGCGACAACTACTCATTAATCAATAGTTTTTACATGTTATGATTTTATTGATTAAAGGCTAAATTAATGTTAATTTATCCTCACCTGAAGTTTTATTTTAAGCATGTCATTTTTTTCTTTCAGAATGAGTAGTAGAAAGATGCAGAAATAAGTTTTTGACATTTTTTTTTTTGAAAACAAATATAAAAAAGTGTTTTCGAATGAATGAAGATCGACCATTAATAAAACAATCGATGGTTCGAAAGCTTCGTACAAGCTGTTCACAATCAAACGTTTTTCCTAGTAGTTCAACTGATTCATCACCAAATATTAATAATATTAAGCGAAAACCACTGTATTCCACAGATGATTATCTTCCTTATTCACTCGAAGATGAAGGTTATGCAAGTGTTACGACGACAAATACACTGTTCGATAGTCAATCAATGGAAACATCACTTAGGCATTCTCGAAGTTCATCATTTACAAAAAAATCTCAGAAAAACGATTCTGATACGGATGATTCAGAGTTATTAAATAATATGATTGACTGGCAATCATTAACTAAGCAAGTACAAAATCTTGTTGATCGTCTTGATAATTGGTTACACGAACCTCTTCAAGATCGTCACTTACGCATAGAACAGTCGTATACACCAAATTCTTATCCAGTTTTACAGACAACATTAACGCCACTAAAAATTGATCTATTATCTAGAACAACAACAAGTAAAATATCAAATCAAAGCAATATCACGGTCAATTTTGTATCTAGAGATAATCACGTCGATAATACCACCTTACCACGATCAGATTCAACAGTTAATACAACAAGATCAAAAAAGTATACCAATTGATTTTAAGACAAATTGAATATAAATATTATCTTTTCTTTTTTTAGAATTAAAACTACGAGATTAACGGAAGTTAACGATCAAACCCCAATTCAAGTAAGTACTCAGATTCATTTGTAACAAATTACGATTACTTTCTCTTGTAGCGGTCTCAATGTTGTACATATTGTACAAAATTTATTCCATTGTTTAATAAATCATACGTTAATGATAATTTAAAACAATATACAATGTGTCCGTACTGTGAAGACATTTATTGTAATAAATTGTGTCAGAAAAACGATTGGATATTGCATAAACAAAATTGTCATCTCTCTTATATCTATAGTTGTTGTGGTTACATTTTACGCCTAATTAAAAGTAATTCGTATTTTTTGATACGTTTAAGTGCTTTAGCTCGAAGTGGTTATTTGACATCGGGTAGAGGAGCTGTCACGTTGTATTTCGACAATATGCAAGAAGTTGAATCTTATGTTAATTATAATACTAAATATAATCGTTTAATGTCAGTTTATTGGCCATTGAATACAAACTCGAATAAATCGACGAAAAATTTACGTCCAATTGAGTCCGAACGTTTGAATGAATTATGTTTAATGTACGAACCACAAAAAGAGTTCATTTGTCATGTATCAATAAACACAGGTAATGATCATTATCTTTTAAAATTCAAAAATAAAATAATTAAAATTTTTTCTTTTTTTTCTTTTTTGTTGAAAATGATTATGATGATCAACATTATCCTTATATGTGCGTTAGTCGAACAGTTAATTATAAACTAGTCGATATTAATTTACAACAATATCATCAATCAAATAATAGTACATTATTATTAACATCTTTATATGAGAATTCGAATGGTACCGATATAACTACTATTCGACAAGCTTATTTTGCTAATTTACAAATAGAACTTCGAAAACGTGGTATAGAAGTTGAAGAACATTATCCAGAATTATATGAAAAATTATGTGAATACATTTCATCTACTGAAACATATCAACATTTTACACCTATCTGTTTGTTTATGAGACATCATTATTCAAAACAATTGTTTATGTGTGTTATAATGCCTGATTCTGATTTGGATCGATCCTGGTTAATTGATCGATGTTTACTAAATCAATTGAATATTTGTGATTCCTGATGTGTATTTTTTCCATTTCTTTGCTAATTAGATTTAAGTCAAATGTGCACATTTTTTTTCTATATAAAAGTTCATAAAAACACTTATCTACTTAGAATTTCTTTGCATTTAATGAATTCAACTGACTATTATAATAGCTATCAATAACATTGCGAAAATATTTATTAAATGTATCTAAAAGTAAAATACGATTGATATGAGCAAGCAAATGATTGAATAGTATTCTTATTTTCTTTATCAAATAGATTATAAACATTTGCTAAATATTCAACAGTTCGATGTATAAACTACGAAAGTAAAAATTTGTACTTATCTATACAAGTATTATAGATGTCAAAATAAGAGACATCAAATTATTTTTCGAATAGTATTTGAATAGAGATAGTAACATACGATACCACAAATATTGAGAGAAATCGATGTATCAAATTTCAAACGTATAGCACCATCTGAATATGTGTTAAAGATGTTGTACTTAATCGATCTATCTTGAGACCTTTTCTCGACTATTTTCAAGAATTTCAATAGATTTTTAAGTCTCATGAATGGATTCGAATAAGCGAACTCCTCTCTACAATCTTGAGCAAGTCTCAGCATTTTTTATTCATGCCCTGTATGTAACTTTCTTAGACACTTTAGATTCAATGTCCAGAAAAATGATGGTCAGAAACACATATTTTTTCTACCTCGTGCATCTTGAAAGAAGATCTATAGTCAGTCTACTGTTAAAAGTTTATTATAAAGGGCTCGACACATGTCAAGGCCTCGCTACAATAAAAGACTCCCTAAATAGAGGACACCTCTTGAACTCGTTTTGTAAAAGTCAAAATAAAAGACTCACTTATTTTTCAGTTTTTTACTTGTAAATCTTGCAAAGTCATAATAAATATTTCCTATTGAACTTGAAAAAGGGTTTTGTATTTACGGACACAATAGAAGATCTCTCTAAAATCATTATTATTAAGGGGGGGGGCCAACTATCCCGTTTTTTTCATAACTTTATAGAGCGCATCAAGCTCTATATACGCTGAAGTGTTTTCGATGAACAGACTTGTAATTACTAAGAAAATTTTTTTACGAATTTCATACGATTTTGTTCCTTTATTTAAAAAGTTTATATAAGGCAGTTTCATAGCGCACATTAAGTGACGTATACCCACAAGTTATAATGAAAATTGAACCAACTGTGTCTGAGAAAATTAACAATTTTCATTCTAACGCAGTTTGAACCGTTAAAGTAATTTTTTAAAACTTATGTACGCATTTCAAAAACAAAGAAGCATTTTGAAAAAAACATTTCGTTGGCAAAGTTGTTCAGGATAATCCTCTTCATATCCTAAGAGAAGCACTTTTTTCATTTTAGTGGAAAAATTTTGAAATAAATTACAAATACGAAATTTAAATGCAATTTACATAAATTTTACTTTAATTTAAAGTTCAAAATTTTTCCACTAAAATGAAAAAAGTTCTCCTCCTAGGATATGAAGAGGATTATCCTGAATAACTTTGTAAGCGGAAAATTTTCCTCAAAATGCTTCGTTATTTTTGAAATGCGTGCATAAGTTCGTGTACGAGGTAATGAAAAAAATCGAATTTCCATGCAAGAGCGACTTCACCTGATATAGGTTTCCACTCGGTTTCTGAATCTTTTTCGAAAAGCAAACATTGCTATGAGACTCAGCGTGATGGATAACCCATGTTTCTATTCATTTTCGAGATGACCACACCTAAGGAAATATCGATCCTGGAGCTTCAAGAAAATCCGATGCCGCGCTTAAACCACGAAAGATTAAGACATCATTTAATTCCCATTTTGTAGAGGACATTTTAGACTATCATATCTACATGAGAAATACAGGGGTGACTCTGGCAGATCTTGGAACCATGACCTATTCTTTCAAAGATTAACAAGGTATACCACTTACAGGTGGTATTTTCTGAGATATTTTTGTATCAACTAGTAGCTAATTATCTTCTCTATGCGATGCCCAAAACCGCAAGCCTTCAGAGCGCCTTAAAAGTTATTAAAGAAATAGCCAACGGCATTCTTTTTTAATAATATATGGCCTTTTAATTCATATAAAAGCCCATGTATGAAAACATTTCAAAAAAACTCACATCCATGACAAATTAAAAATAAAATAGAGAAAAAATTTATAAAAAGTCTGTTAGATAGAAATTTTTTCTTCCTTTTTTACATGTATACCAAATTTTTGTCATTATTCCTGAATGACTTTTGAGACATCGGAAATGAGCTGATAGACCGAAAATTTTGAAACATTATTGAATATTCATAGAACCACCGAAATTTCTTGAAGATACATAATACTCAACGTACTCTACAAACTGGTATAATTTGAGGCCAGGTTTGGAGGTGGTAACATTATCCACCTGGAAAGTATAAAATTTTTTCTCTCAACAAGGTTTATAAAATCTAGAGATAAGATTGTAGTCAGATAAAAAAAGATTAATTTAATTTTTATTCAAGATACAAAATAGTTTATTCATGTATGATGAGAATTTTGATTTAAGAGACTAACAGTTGTAACAAAAATCTAAAACAGAGTAAATAATCAATTTTTTAGTTTTATTACTGTTTTATGGCAAAAGTCTTGATGGCTTTATGGTTGTGAATATTTTTTGATTTTGATATTTTGAATGAATTACAGATATACATATGTGGGAGATATGAATGATCCTTTAAATGTGTCGATGATTATCTTTGAAAAAAGAAATCAAACACTACATCAATATTGGTAAATGTTGTATCCCACTATTTATCTCAAGAATAGTGAGAAACAAGGTAAAGTTGATTTTATTGTGTCTATAGTCTTAACACTAATCGTAAGATTTTCTTAAATGAAAGGAAATGAAAAAAAAACAAAATGTCTGGTTTATGGCTTACATGTTTGTAGATCTTCAAAAACGGATGCAAAAAATTCACAATTCAAATTGCTTTCTGTTTACCTATATATTGTTGGTGATTGCGTTCACCATTTTGTTTGTTTGTATTTGAAATTACCACGTGTTCAATCCTATTAATAGTCGTACACAATGACAGATTACGATTCAAATGATAACGAAACGACTACAATTATGGCAGCGCCTATAGGTAGTGTTACTCAGGTTGCAATACTCATACCATTTTTGATCATATCATCCATAGCATCAATATGTGTATTATCCGCTTTTATTTGGATTCGTGTACTACGCCGTGTTCATAATCATATCCTAATATGCTTAATAGTTTGTTCCATGTTAATAGTATTGACTGATTTACCTTTACTCATAAGTCAAATGTATTTAGGTATATGCGTTGGCTAGACTTTATGATAAAACAGAAATTGATATGTTTTCGATTAATTTTAGGCTACTGGTACGGTAATTCAAATTCGTGTCTATTCTGGATAATTTATGATTATACATTACAAGCTCAAAATTTGTTTTTAATGGCTTGGACATCTGTTGAACGTAATTTACTTGCATTTAAATCTTCATTGTTTCGTAATCGAATGCGTCGTATCATTTATCATTACATTCCAATCATTGTCGTATCACTGATACCATTTGTATTTTATATGGGTGCTGTTTTAAGTCTACCCACATGTGACGGATTTTTGAGTGGCGTGTGTAATGGAGCATGTTACGAAAATATTTATTGGCTGACAATATTTGACTTTAGTTTTAACGTCATCTTACCAATAACAATGATCATTTTATTCAACTGTATACTTATATTCAAAGTTTTTATACAAAAAAAGCGCCTACATTTAGTAACATCAACCAATAAAACAAGACGTTTAACGTTACAATTATTAATATTAAGTATTTTATACAGTTTTGCATGGTTACCGCAGATCATATCGTCACTAATACAAAATGCTTGTCCGGACTGTGTGACTGACGATGTCATAGATGTTACCTATTACATCACTTATATTGTACCATTCGGATTACCTTTTATTATTGCCTTTATTTTACCTGAAGTTCGTCAGTTTGTGTTTTCACGTTGTCCTGTTTGGATCAAACGACGAACAGCTAGAGTACTGCCTTTTGAAGTTGCAACTCTAAATACGCTTAGTCGAAATTAGGTTCACAAAAATCTTTGCTTTCGCAGGAATATAAAATGAAAATTAAATAAATATTGGACTTTATTAGGCTTATGCCGCATAAAGTTAGTTTCTGTTTATTTAAGTTTTATCGATGCACCGTTGCCCAAAAATTTGAAATGTCTGAAGCAAAAGAGGCAGTTTAGAAAAAGATAGCCGTGTATAATTCTAGTGGAAGTACTCATGACATGAATACCACTTACTCACGCATTTGTGCTTGAGTACTCAAAAGTTGTACCCACATACTCAATACTCTTACATGAGTACTCCATGAGTAAAAAAATGTATGAATACTCGTTGCATTTTTCAGCAGAGTACGACTTTGAGTACTCAGGCTTGAGTACATTCACTAGGAATTATCTACAGTTCGTTTTACTCAAGAAACTGGTATTACACTGAATTGTTTACTTTGAATTAACTAGAATGAAAATGAGTTTAAACCATTTTTTAAAGAATTTGAGAACTTTTTTCCAAAAATCTGCATTAAGGATGAAGAGTAAAAATGTGTTCCCGTTACCAACCTTTCAGCAACAACGTATAACTTCCATCGCGTTCACAGCCGAATATTTCCTTTACTGTTATCCTTCATCCTTACCGCATCGAAACCTGTAATATGCAAAGACAATCTGGTTTCTGACGGTGTACACCATGAACTATCTAAAAGGCAGAGAAAATCGTCGAATTACATTCTAAAAAGTATAATGAGTTTCCCATTTCTTCCCTCGATCGAATTTCCTCTAAATTATGTGAGCATTTTCGTTTATCGTATGTTAGTATATGCAGAAAATGTTATCTTTCAGTATAAAGACTCTCGCAACATCTCTGATGTTATGATTACTTGGTTTGTAATGAGCGTTCATAATATATGGACATTTTTTCTGTAATTAACATTAATATTGCTACTTATGAATATACCGCCGAATATATGGAGTTTCATCGAAAACTAAAAATCTCAATTGAAATAATTTTTAGAGAAAAAAGATTCGAAAACATGAAGAAGAAATCTTGACAAAAAAATACCAAACACTCTGGCTGCTCACAGCCACTGAATATGTGTGCTGCTTATATTTTCGAGACTTTTCTCTTCGATATTGTTTCTTTTTTCGATTTTTAGTCTTTATTATACCCAAACAGCGTTCGCCCAGAATATCTCCCATAGTGCTAACTAATTCCATTCTATTAGCAGATTTATGAGTTCAAATGTCTGTTATGATAAAGTTGTTGACGTGAAACATCTTATAGTTCTGCTACAAAACTATACATAGATCGATCCTATAAGAAGTGGCAAAGAAAATAGGTTCAACATAAAAATAAGCAATACAGCTTTCATCCTAATGCAAACATCGCAACATCAATTTAAAAGTACATAATGAACTCGAAAGCTGAAGATTTAATGAAATGATATTTTGTGGAACTCTTGATAAGATTTTGAGATATGAAAATGTCAAACTCTTATCAAGATATTTTCAAGCTTTTAGAATAATTCCGATCAAATTGAATGAGAACTTTTCAGGTTCATTGTACGGCCAAGTTTTTCTTAAATATCTTGAAAAGTTTGTTTTAAAATTATTACACCACTATTCAGAAAATAGCGGAAAGAAACTATTCTTGATACGACCTAGATGCGACTATATATGAACGAAAGAGGGAATTCTTCAAGACTTGATCTGTAAAGTCGAGAGTCAAACACTACTGCTGTGCTCAACTGAGATGTACTGAACTTTCATCGAAACGTCAGTGTATCGAGAATGCGAACCCTCAAACCACCCCTCACCCTCACAATTACAAAGCCAAATGTTCCGACTACATTTGACATATTTATATATATTTGAACGCACTAAGAAAAATTTTCTATACATTCACCTTTTGATTAGATTCATTTTTGATGAAATAATTTTGACAAATTTTGACATTTCGATGAAAGTTCCTAGTATCATACCACTTGTAGTACAGATGAGCCATCGATTATTGCAAATGTTTGCATAAATCTTGACAGAATCTTGCTAAGGAACAAGGTCTTGTCTAGGTTGTCACTAGATAACTTTATTCTCATAGGACGCTGTGCGGATCGAACCAGATATCGATGTCAGAACAATTTCTGACCTTTAAAATTAAAATTTATTTTAGCTGTTTCTTTGATGTACTATACATTTATAGATAAAACCAGTGCCTTCTTATCCTATGTGCTAATTGTGCTATAGCACAGGGACCCCGTTGACTCAGGGGTCCAATCGAACGGTTTAAGCCTTGCATTTTGTTATTATTAAAAAAAATACAAATTGATGTGTTGAAAACGTTAATGATCAGCGCAGGGGCCACAAATTTCTTAAAACGGCTCTGGATAAAACAATGATATTGTTCGATTTAAAACATTCTGATCACAGTTAACAAAATGTGACTTTAAGCATTTGCGCTAATTCTTCTAGAACGTTTCATTTTACTTTCATTCACGACACGTATTCGCATTACTATAAAAACTTTTTTTATTTCCATGATAACTTGTACACTATAAATGTAAAACTTCTGCCGTTCACGGTATATCTATAGTTATACCTTATCGGATCATTAAAAACGCCTTCTCTGTAAGTCTTATGTTTTCGAAGAAATATTAAAAAAAAGATTTCGAAACAAAGTGAAACAGAGTATAATAATGTGAAATTGATTGTTATTACATTTATTCTAAATAAAACAAAAACGACTTGATATCAGAGGCGTTATGAATGATTGGAAAAAACAATAATCGATTGATGCAGCGAAAAAAAGAAAGAAAGTTCCAAAGTGTTGTTCTTTTTATTATATACGAACTTGTCGTGTATCCTTTTAACAAAAATTACCTGTGTACCACTTGATTGAAATGTGTAAGTAAAGAACAAGAGAAACAAAAGGGAGATACAACGTTAAAAAAAGAGAGATATATACACATGTTTTACTGAACATATACGTGTATATATACGTGTAAACGCTTTTAGTAAAAGAATAAGGTTAAACTTAGACGATACATTATTGACGAGCAATATGAAATTTTACAATCAACAATATTTTCATTTTTTAACATTTTGGACATTTTTTTATAATTTATATGGTGAGTAACTATTTTGACTTGTATATTATCTCTCTGTCTCAATTATTATCTATTAGACATAAATGCACAATGTGCGGGTGGAATTTGGACTGTCCAAGATAGTACAATTGGCAATTTTAGCATATCATGGCAATATAATCTTGCAACAAACACTGTACAATTTATTTTAAAAGGTTTGAAACGGTTCCAAAACTAGATTTAGAAATCACTTTATTATGTCTACTTGTTGTTCTTACTATCATCTTTGTGCAATGTTATAGGTCAAGCAATAACTAATGTCAATTTATCATCAACTTACATAGCACTGGGCTGGTCAGATACAGCTCCCACTATGGTACGATAAACGGACAAAAATCTGTAATTCATAAATGTATATTTTATGTACTTTTAGGATAAAATGGATGTAGCAATATTCTATCCTGGTACACAGACAGTTGAAGACAGGTATTATTAGACTATTGTCAATCAAACTGATGAAGATAATTTTAGTTCTCTTCAAGATTTTCACGTGGATTTGTTGTACCTACTGTTGATACGCAACAAGATTTTTGTGTTATACGTACAAATTTATCAAACAATAATGTCTATGTTGCATTTGAACGTTTTATAATGACGGTATATATATAGATATGAACAAATCAATTATCCTCTTCCTTATAAATTGATTATTTTTTCAGGGTGATCCAAATGATATTGGATATAGTTTAAACGTTTATTTGATGTTTTCAATGGGATTATATACCAGAAATGGGAGTAGTTTCAATATTCAACATCATTTTTTCAGAATACCACGACAAACAATGATAAGCTTAATTAATTGTATAGCAGGTTAAATTATCAAATGAATGCGTGTTCATTTAATAGTTATTATTTCTTTTTAGGGAGTTGCTTAACAACATCATGTAATAATTCTTGCTCATGTTTACAAGATATCGTAACAAACGTCTCAAAGTGCGAGTGTTTTCCACCATCTTCTTGCATATCTGGTAGTACTATCACAACAAGACCCACTTTTACCGCTCCGTTAACATCTACAATGATGAATAATACAATTACTAATTCTTCTACTACGACAACAATATCAACTCTACTGACGACTCAAGCATCAATTATTACAATCATTAACGCAACTTCGATAAATTCTAATCCAGGCACGTGCCAAAGTAATCCATGTTTAGCAAGCGGTATCTGTTTACAAATATCAGTAAATGAATTTGTTTGCCGTTGTATAAATAATTCTTCGGGTAATTTTTGTCAAATACCTCCAACGTTAAGTTCGAATTCGACACTATGTCCATGTCTTAACGGTGGCATTTGTTTATCATCAACTAATGCAACTAATAATGGTAGTACGACTTGTGCATGCTCAAATCAATTTCTTGGTCAATATTGTCAACTCGGTAAAATTTATACGAACATCTAAGAACTGCTTTTTACTTGTATGTATTTTCTCACCTATAGCTAATCCATGTCTCGGTTATTGTCGTAATAATGGAGCATGTTCTGTAGTCTGTTCCGAAACATCATGTAATACACCAAACTGTACATGTTTAGCAGGCTTTTCTGGTACACAGTGTGACAATTCATCGTTCACATCGACATCTAATGCTTGTACTAGTAATCCATGTATCAATGGCAATTGCGTAGCAACCGCTACTGGTTATATGTGCCAATGTGCAAATGCATTTTTTGGAGAAAGATGCGATTTATGTGAGTACATAATATCTTCTTTACATAATGGTTCATAATTAAATGCTTAGCTTCTCTATAGTGAACGGTTGTTTTTCTAATCCTTGCAACCAAGGAACATGTATTCCATCACAACTATCGTGTAACAATCAAATTTGTGGATATAACTGTAGTTGTCCAAACGGGACATCAGGTAAGAAAATAAACAGATAATATGACAAATGGTAACTTAAGGGTTCCCTCCCAACGAAATTGATGATTTTCAGAGAAAAATTGAAATTGAGTTTCTTGCTCAGCTAGATAGACTAAAGTCTCCTGTTTCAGAATATGTGCTGCTTTCACAAAAGAATTAGTTCTTTGTGAGATTTTGAGAGGTTTTTTGTCACCTATCTCGATTTTCAATCAATTTTTATCAATTTTTCCCGTAAGTAAAATAGCGTCATTTTCAGTAGGGAAGATGTTTACCTAGTGTCCTTTGCCGTAATCATGATATCTGATATTTCTGGCAGCTATTCATCGGATTTTCTAGCGGTCAAATAACCTCTATGAGGATAAAAGAAAGAGCTTTCTTTTTGCTTCTTAAATATATATCATACTCCTATATTGAACCTTAGATCTGTTGTCACTATGCACTTCAAACTTGTTTAACGTTTTTCTTAAAACATGGTTTCAGCGGAGAAAAATTGTAAATGTTGTTCGCACCCTATTGCGTGCAAGCGTCTGATAATCGCGGCCAATACTCCGCCGAATTAAGGTTATTTTCAGAGTTTTAACTTAAAATAAGTGTAGGGAATGAACGGAAACGAAATTCAAAAATCAAAGTTCAGGGATCAAAGTTTAGATTTAGGTGTCCACTTTCGTTTGAGACTACCCGTAGCTTTCTGTTCCTTCCATTAAGAAAGCCGTAACGCTTTTGCTAAGGGCCGCATTTTGCCCGTTGTCACGCAATAACACGGCAACGCTTCAACGTTTGTTTCAAGCTGGAATTTTTAGCATAAGCAAGGTGGACAGTAAGCATTAGTCACTGTAAGAGCCATCGAAATCTGATGTGAAATAAAAAAAAATTTTCGCTAGGTAGGGGCTACCTTACGTACATCTAAATATAATAGTGAATTTTCACTTTTAGATCGCTAAGCGATCTTTTACGGGAAACGTTTTAAGACATTGTTTCTCATTTACCTTGGACATTAACTCAGCTTAAACATATTGTTTGTAGGAATAACATGTGCTCTTGGAATGAATGCTTGTTATTCGAATCCTTGTAAGAATGGTGGTCAATGTGTTAACTCATCAACTGGTACCTATCAATGTCAATGTCTTTCCCCCTATGCTGGCACGAATTGCGATACTTTGATTAATGTTTGTACGCCAAATCCTTGTAAGAATAATGGTACATGTGTAACAGGCGCGAACATTCAAGATAGACCATATCGGTGTGATTGCATTAACGGATTTGCCGGAAGCATATGTGAATATGGTATGTTTTATCAACGCTGAATCTCATAAAGAATATTTCAATTTTGTTATCTCTTCCCGTTTGAAGGTAGTGCATGTAATTCAAATCTCTGTCGGAATAACGGTATGTGTGTTCCAGATACAACAAATTGTGTTGGTACATTCTGTGGTGCTGCATGTGTTTGTCTGTCTGGTACGACTGGTCCCTTCTGTGAAATTCAAAATTCAACATGCTCCAGTCAACCTTGCCTAAATGGAGGCGTTTGTATCAGCACTGGAAGTGGATATCAATGTCAATGTAATTCATTAACAACAGGCGTTAGGTAAAGAGATTAAAAACAATTTCTAAAAAAATTTTTACTATTTATTGTTCAGATGTGAAACAACAATCCAGTCTAGTTGTTCATCAAATAATCCTTGTTTTAATGGGGGAACATGTTATCTAGACGCTGTGACAAATGCTTTAAAATGTATTTGTTCTCAAAGTTATACGGGACAATACTGTCAATCTTCCGTTTCCTCGAATGTATGTTTGAGCAATCCATGTTCAAACAATGGGACATGTGTTTCCAATCGAAATATATTTTTTTGTATTTGTCCAGCGGGCTTTGGTGGTGTTACCTGCCAAAGCGGTAAGGAAGCAGTTTAACTTCATAATATGAATATTGTTTCAACTTTCTATTTGTTTCAAAAGGGTTGATACCTTGCACCTTATCACCATGTCGTTATTTGTCAACGTGTCAACAACTGAATACAAATCCACTGTCATTTACCTGCTTATGTCCCGATTTTCTCACTGGTGACCGGTGTCAGTATCCAAACAAATGTCACACAAATCCATGTTTCAACCAGGGCACGTGCATCCCACTCGGACCCCAAAATAGTTTCGTGTGTATTTGTCCGCCTGGTTTTGCTCATTATGATTGTTCGGTTTGTAAGTGAAAGAAACTATATTAACGGTCGCTGATTTAGACGGTCGTGGTTTATCTTTAGATCTTGGCAATTGTACATCCAATGCTTGTATTAACGGTGGTTTGTGTGATTATAGTTCAACATCAACGAAATGCTCGTGCCTATCGGGCTTCTCTGGTCCTCGATGTGAATGGAACTCTGTTTGCTCGTCCAATACTTGTCAGAATGGAGGAATGTGCAGACAAATAGCTCCGACAATGGCTGAATGTCTGTGTTCCACGGGTTACACAAGTCCAACGTGCTCTTTAAGAGATCCTTGTACCACTTTTCCATGTAAAAATGGTGGTGGTTGTTCCATTATTTTGGCAGATACGAGCACCAGCTATGCGGCTTACCTATGTTTTTGTCCTCCAGGATTTTATGGCCTAAACTGTGACAGTCGTGAGTAATTTTCTACCAATCAATTCCATAGAATGCTGAATCGAATCTTAATTTTGCAGTTATTAATAACTACTACTAAGAATTTTTGCTCACTCAACTGTGGTAAAAATTCAGCTTCTCTCTTATACTGAATTAGGATGTGCGTTATTATCACATCCAGTTTGCATTCTACCTTTTTGTAGTTTCATTGTTTCGCATGCATAAATAAATTCTCGTTACCATATTCTAGCATTAAGTTCATGTTCCAGTATTCGATGCGAATCATATCAAATATGCAGTGAACAAGCTTCTGGACCCGTATGTACCTGTTCCGGAGGAAAAGTTGGAACGTTTTGTCAGTACGGTGGGTTTCTTGATAGCTAATCTAAGTATTTTTGTACAAAATTAAGATACATTGAATTTTTCCAGACAATCCATGTCTAACGCAAGCTGGCTATTGTCAAAATGGAGGCACTTGTGTAACATCTAATACTGATCCTCCGGTTATCACTTGTTTATGCCGTCCTGGTTTTACGGCACCCAGATGTTCTCCTCTTCAACTCGATGTTTGCCAATCAAATCCATGTCAAACACGAGGTTATTGTGCACCATCAGCTTCAAATACTTCTTATAAGTGCGTTTGTTCATCATTGTTTGCTGGTGACAATTGTGAACGAAGTAAGACTAAGATTCAATCACTCTTTTTCTTATTTTATGAAAAATTAGAACATTCGCAGCATATATGTCTACATTAGACGTCTGTTATCTATATCTAGAATAATCTACGTTTAACATTGTTTTTATTACTCTAGACAACCCCTGTGTAGGATCACCTTGTTTAAATAATGCGATTTGTCAACCATCTTGGAATACGTCACAAACATGGTTCAATTGTGTATGTGTTGGAACATATACAGGAACAAGATGTGAAACATCATTATTATATCCTTGTGGTGGTTTATGTATGAATGGTAGTCCTTGTGTGAACGGTGTTTGTCAGTGTAGTGCACAATATACTGGTGTTTTCTGTGCATTTGGTAAATAGTCAAATATTCGAGACTGCTAGATTATTTTCTCACTTTCTATCTAGATAATCCATGTTTGCATAGACCGTGTCGCAATGATGGTTATTGTACAACAAATTACAATTCAATAACAGCATCATTCACTTGTACATGTTTAGCATCTTTCACAGGAATACTATGCGAGACCTACGTAGCTCTAGCAGTGGGCACTATCTGTAATCCATCATGTCAAAATAATGCAGTATGCGTTAATGGTGCATGTTTATGCACAGCTGATTATCTTGGTCCCGTTTGTCAATACCGTGCGTATTAATACATTCAATAACAATCGTTTTTTATTCTACGAAATTATTCATTTTTAGCTAATCCGTGCAACTTTACAAATCCATGTTTAAACGGTGGAACATGTTTTGGACATTATAGCAATAATAATAATAACAATGGTACTGTCAGTACTCAGTGTTTCTGTCCCCAAGGTTATACAGGAGTTTATTGTGAAGGTAATAATTATCACTTAGATATATATCAACTAATGAGTAGTTCTGCGTAGGTCTGCCTATTTTTGTATGGCTCAATGGTGAAAGATTTAACTTACTTAGTTTTGCATAATCAAATAGAGGGAGGAATGGGCGCTAGAAAGTTGTAGGTCACGATTAATACTACGTGGAAAAACGTATGAAAAAAGTTGCCGTTTGATTTTCGAGAGAGTTGGGTTCAGAACAAGGTGTTGATTCTAAGCATTAAACAAGTTACTTCTTTCACCATTGGATAGAGTATAAGAAGAGCCTTAATTTCATCAAAAAATTATTAGTTTTCATGGTCTTAATAGTTTTACTTCACTTACACTTTCCCATATATTTGCGTAAAACCCTAGGAGGCTCTCCTAGTCAAATACTCCCCAGACAACTAAATGAAATTTTATTTTTGGGATGAAATGTAATATTCTGATGCTCTTTCCGATGACCAGTCTAAACTACCGTAACTTTCTCAAAAAAGTATTATAAGCTGTTAACATGGACTAAGTTGTTTATGGGTGCACCTTGTAGTCCTGGCGCCAACTTTACCGAATGAACCAGCTCCAAGATGAGGATGGATTCTCTGGCAACTCGATAAAGGGCTACAAAGCTATCTTAGTGGAATCTTGCCGGCTTTTAAGTCATGTAAAAAGTAGGTAAACCTACGGAGAAATTACGTATTGCCAATATATAATAAAGTCACGTGTAATAAACAACTAATTAATACTAAATATCATTTTTTTCTTACGAGAATATTCAATGAACACAGATGTTCTATTGTAGGAATGCTATGTTCTATAACTGCATGCAATGGTGGTGTATGTACTGCAACTCAAAACACCATTTTTTGTGTTTGTCCAGCAGGAAAGACAGGAGATAGGTGCCAAGTAAGACTCAACAGACACTTTCTTTTTCTCAGTTAACATTGATCAACTTTTTTCCCCAGTATGCAGACGTATGTTCATTTAATCCATGTAAATCAAATGAAATCTGTCAACAAACTGGAAATCAATATCAATGTACGTATTAAGGAAAACTAAGCTAATAAAATCAACAGATCACATCGTTAGACCTATCCCTAGTGAATGTACTTGATTCAAGTACTTGCTTGTTTGGTAAGTGCTTAGAAAAATTGGACAGGATTTTCAAAACTACTTGCCATAAAATTCTACAAGTCCTTCTCCGAGATTGCAATATACGGTTTCATTATTACGAAGTACTTTGTGGAAGCACTTGCAGTTTTAATTGACAGTACTTCAACTGGTACTTCAGCTGGTACTAAACAAGCGTGTACACCTAAGTTTTCTGCTGCAGAGCAGGTAAGTGCCCCCTTCATTATACGGGCAAAGTGCTTGGGCTCAAGTACATCCAGCAAGGTAGATATCTTCTGTGAGCAGTTCTTTATGAATTCGTATAAAGTCATCACTTTTTCTCTTATCTTTTTCCCAGGCAATGCTTGTTACGATCGAAGTCCTTATTGTGCAACATACAAACTTCGTACCGAATACTGTACCAATCAATATACGATGCTAATATCGGGCAGTTTTATTCCTGTACCAGTAGCATGCCAGAGTTCGTGTGGCCAATGTATTCAAGTTCAACGGTATAACGAATTTGTTCCATCAGCAACAACAAATACAACACCTGCCATGTTTCAATCAAATACATCCGAAAGTGCAACGTCTAGTTCTACGGATTCATCATCCTCATCTCTCTCAAATATTATTATATCAAGAGACAACAGCTGCTATGATGAGAAACCCGATTGTCCGTTTAAAAAACAGGTGTTTTCTTGTCAATGGTTAGATACTTATTATCCTTCACATTGTGCTAAAACATGCAATCCAGCTTGTTCTTCATAGAAATATCTGTTGTTAACTCTATATTTTTTTATTACAATATAATATTTTTCCGGTAACAAAATGTTCATGTGATGAACTTTGTATCTGTTAGCTAACTGGCTAGCTAAATATAGACGGTAACTTTTCTTAAAATAAACTAATATTTTTCGTTATTGCCGATCGTCAGCAGCGTGGCGCAGTGGAAGCGTGCTGGGCTCATAACTCAGAGGTCGGTAGATCGAAACTACTCGCTGCTATGTTATTTTTTTAAATTTATCGCAGGTAAGAAAACCGAACTGGTTAATTTTAATTTTTGTATAGTTCTGTTAAACATATATTATGAAATCCATCAGTTCATCAAAGGTTAAATTCATGTACATGTACAACAATAACTTATTAGTCGGGACAACCCAGTTTTTCTTCTAATGATACTACCGGCGAATAAGAAGGAATAAGCCACAAATAACTAACTTATAAAAACTAACTTATTTCTTACGTAAATGGTTGTTTTAAAGTATTTCCGTTCTCATATTCAACACTGTTAAAGATTTTTACACAAGATAATGTATATGAGTATGTGAAAATGTGCAACAGACGTTGGACTCATTAATACAACATTTTATTATATACTACACTAGTGCCACACATTACCGCATTATGGGACGTCTGTGGCGCATGTTCAAACATTATTCTGCGTAATATTTTTTATCGAGGCGCCAGAAAAAGAAAAAAGCCTTTTATGGAAGGAAAGAAAAATATGCCTTCTACTTTAGAAGACGTCATAGTATGACATAGAAATGTGTGTGAGTCAGGGCTACCACCCTCATGCAGTGAAAAACGCTTGCGCAATAACAAACGAAATAAATTCTTACACATACATAAGACAAAACGCATACTTTTAGATATACGTCGGTAAAATTTTTATACGTAAATTTATAAATATTTTATAAAATGTCTGATTTAGTTGATGATTTTGAAATCTTGGCACTAGAATCCCCTTTAACACAATATCATCAATTTGAAATAATTGGTAAGTATGTAACTTACACTAGTGCTCTATATATGTCTGTTTCCAACCTGGCTTTCTGTTATTCCCATTCCTGTTCATTTACCTTCCTACGTTGTTCACTTCCATATTATACCGTCTATGAACCCTTATTTCTAGGAATGATTTAGGTAGAGCAGTTTTTATGAGACGAAAGAGGAGAGAGTACAGTACTGCTATAACGATCATGGTAGTAGAATTTTACCAAATTCCCACACTTTGATTTTATTATTCGAGCTTTCGAAAGCTTCTGCTTTCATCTTCACGAAAAAACAAAGTGACATAACTATTGAGAAATAGGTTCAAAGTACACAAGAGAGAGAGATAAAGAACAATGATGATTTGTATTCTTATTGAAACGGTCAACGGACATATTTATTCGAATAAATATTATTATATTATAAAAATTCTGTCTCTTCATTTAAGAGAGTTTTGAGGGCAAATAATGTTCTTTGAACATATTTATTCGAATAAATATGTCCGTTGACCGTTTCAATAAAAATACAAATCATCATTGTTCTTTATCTCTCTCTCTTGTGTACTTTGAACCTATTTCTCAATAGTTATGTCATTTTGTTTTTTCCTGAAGATGAAAGCAGAAGCTTTCGAAAGCTCGAATAATAAAATCAAAGTGTGGGAATTTGGTAAAATTCTACTACCATGATCTTTATAGCAGTACTGTACTCTCTCCTCTTTCGACTTATTTCTAGGTCTGCTGTTTCCCTATCTAAAAGCTTATAATAAGATCTTTTTGATATTATTTTACAGACAAGGGTCATAATGTCGATGACTCATCACGACACAGAAGTTTTGCGATGATGCATAATATATTATCAATTTATGGAGTACTGGCCCACTTCCGTGCCGATATTCTTACAAGATTCTCATTTCTTGTCATTTCAGACCGTCATAAATACTTTACATGTATTTTTGTTTTAAGATTCTTACACACAAATTTTTTCTTTTAAAATCAGTCAAGAATCAAATGTAAAACCCTTTTTTTCCTAAATCCACAAGAAAAAAATAACTAATATCATTCAGAATCTTCATTTATCGTTCAATTCTAGACACAGCTGAACTGAATAGTAATTATAATGAATCATGCAGTAGTCGTCCGCAAGGAAAAGAGACACCGTCAGTGGCAAAAACCCAACGTGAACAAACTATTGTAGCAACGTGTGGCAATAGAAAACATGTTCCCCAAACTGTTTCTCTAACTCCAGTTCAACCGATTACTTTAACACAAGCAAGCTTGAATAAAGTAAAATTTTCGATCGACAGTAGAACTGACACAAAAGACGCACAAAAAAATATTACAGAAAAAACAACGACGGATCTGGTGCCGAACTCAATGAAGCATGATATCATCAAGAAACCTGTTGATGAGAATAGGAACCTTCCGAATATCCCACAATCATCAACATTAATCAAGTCGAACATTTCAGATGTTGAACAAGTCAAATCACCATTGCTTTCATTAAACATAGGTTCAACAGAAAAATTACCATTAGCATCTCTTCCAAGACGTGTCGGAGCTGCTGCTCATATACCATACAGTATGACAGATGATCTTGACATTAGTTCAATAATTAATCAATCAAAGCACCAAACAATGAATCTACTAACAATGCCATCGAATAATTTAATTGGTGATATTAATAATAGCAATGATGTTATGAAACTAATAAAAGAGGAACAGAAAACAAGAAAATCATCTTATGTCAACTATGAACAAAACGATGATATCAAACAATTATTAAATCAAAAAACTCAAACAAATTTACTTCAACATGCAGAAAATGAACGAAAAGCTTTCTTAAATACTGTCAATGCGACTAATTATTGGTAATACTGACAAGTCTATGAGACACAGCTATTGAACATTACATTTGTTTACCGTGTGTTACTTTAAAATCAAGCATTTTGTCTTAAAGACACTTCTTATTTCTTTGTATATTGTTCAGTGTTAATAACAATTTCTTTAAAAAAACGTTTGTTAAATCTCATAGTACACGTTATTTAAAAGCTGCGTGACTAAAGTTATAATGATCACACAAGTATTGTTTATCTTTCTCCAACGAGCAACCGCTAACTATAACCAAACAGGGATACTTTCTAACCTTGTAGCATGGGAATAATAAAACAATTTGTATATTACATTCGTGACCAAAACTCTCGCCCCACGTTTTTGTTTTTATGTTTTGTTCTTATCTAAATAAAGATAAGAATTATTATTTATATTCATATGTATTCTTACTCTACTGATCATAATCTACGCATATAGCTAGTCTGCATAAATAAATTTGGAAATGTAAGAGAAAATAAAACGTAACAATGGAGAACAAATTGCTTTGGACATCAAAAGGTTGTTTATTTCCATCTTCATTTGTTTGTATTATATTTTTAATTAAAGATGAGTGGTTTATCTCGTTAGTAGAACACTCTCTAATGCTACTGAAGACACCATCACTGTTGAAGAGAAATACCAGTTATTCGTGACACACTTTAAAAGAAAATGAAGAAAAGTATTTCAGTTTCAATCAGGAAACTAAGAGAAAGAAGAAAGAGTCGTTGACAGATGAAATATTGAAAATCGTGGATTAGAAAGGTTTAGCCTTCGTCAATTGGCAAGATCACCTGGGAACGAATTTAGAGACAGGATATAAGTCTATTACGGGAAGCACAATCTAGTTTTCATAGTAACAGATCAACTATCGAATCAGATTTTTACATTGAAATTGACAATGGAAAAATTACGAGAATTTAACAAACCCCTCTGCATGTGTTTCATTGATATTACGAAGGCGTACGACTCTGTTAATCGCGATCTTCTCTGAAGTGTTTATCGCAAATATGGTATCTCCGAGAAACTTGTAAACCTACTGAAGATGCTCTATCACAATTTAAGAACTAAGGTTAGAATAAATGGTGAATTGTCTAGGGATTTCCAGATTGAGACAGGGGTGTTGCAAGGAGGAATTCCATCGCCTATCTTATTAACATCTTATCTGACTTAATCATAAGAAGAGTGATCGAAGAAGCAGGCGTCTGCGGAGTCAAATTCGCTTACGGCAGTAACGACTTTTTCCATGGAAAAGGAGACAAGTATGAGAATTTTGATATTCTAGCCTTGCTTTATGCAGATGACTTAGTTGTTACGTGTGAAACAGCCGGTGATTTAGAGACCTTTATCCAAGGGGGAAACAACTGATTTTCGGATTTTTCCGATTTTCACCGATTTTTGTCGATTTTCACCAAATTGAAAGGCACCAAAAATGACTGCAAGTCATTGAAAATCACAGAGAATTACAGAGGATCATTGAGAATCAGTGAAATCAGTTGATTTTGCGTGATTTTTGACTTATTTTGGGCTGATTTTAGTCTGCTGTTTCCCCCTTGCCTTTATCACAACATTTGAAAAGTCACACAAGATTTTGGTTTAACAATGAGCGTGAAAAAGACAAATATCATAAATTTGCAATAGTTAGAAGAGGATAACAATTGGAAAATCATCAGGAATCAAATAGTTGTGCATCCAGATTTGGATATCATCATACGTAACCTGAAGATTGAAATTGTTCAGTCCTTCAATTATCTGGGGTGCAATATTTCTAGTGACCAACGGTCACATAAAGAGATCGACATCTGATTAGCGAAAGTTGCTACGGCATTCAATATGCTGAGACATGTCATTTGGTATCGCAAAACAATATCAGTCGTTGCAAAATTAAGAGTCTTTCGAGCCAGTGTGCTTCGTGTCAGAGACCGAATCGGGTCTTACGTGGATGACCCGAACCCGACGCGACCCGAACATTTTTTACCCGAACCCGACCCGACCCGATTCAATATTTTTTATATTAACCCG